TTATAAATTAGGGATGTAAAATCCCATTTAATTGGTTAACCAGTTAAACATTATGTTTAACTGGATAAGCACATAAAGGGGGTGCAGCGGGCTGGAACAGCACCCCAATGCAGGCAGGGGCTTCTCTGGCTGGGCTAACACAGCCCTTGCCTGTGGCACTCCCTGGGTCCGCTGCAGACGGGTGATCCACCTGGAAAAAGTAAGATGCTACACTTCACCCCAGTGATGCTTACTGGTTAACCTTTCATTTACCCAATACAAGTCACCAATTATTTGCTGTAAGTTCTGTATCTTGAACTGCCTCGTAAAATATTTTATACAAAAAACAACAAATGATATAAGAATTAATTAATAATCATAATAAACAGAAAAATACCGGACATCAACTATAAGCAAGTTGGGCAGAAACCACGTCTTCAGAAGTGTCTGTACAGAGGTGCTGCTTGAAGGGCCAAAGCACTGGTTGTGAGAGGGGCCTCAGGGAACAACTGCACTATAACGTAACAGTCATAACTAATAGCAGTTTACTGTTCACATTGCACCAATGAAGATGCTTATTTTCGAGCTGTGTAAGTGGCCACAGACATGTTAAAAGCACAGAGCTATCTAGGATTTTCAAAACATGGCACTGCCTCTACGTGGGATGCTCAGATCTGTTCCCGGAAGCCATGTCTGGAAGCTGCATCAGGTGCTACCTCATGCTTCGGAGAACAGTCACAAGTCCTGAGTGGCATTTTCAAGACAGAGGCTGGACTGGGGGCAGAGGCTGCTGTGGGCGTGGGGAAGGGATGCTGATTCTCTCTGAAAGTCAGACGCTAACGTGACCTCATATAGAATCCTAGAACTGGAAGAGACTTCAAAAGACTTCATCAAGTCCAGTCTCCTGCCCTCAGTGCAGGACCAATCACTATCTAGATCATCCCTAACAGGTGTTTGTCTAACCTGCTCTTAAATATCTTCAGAGATGGAGATTCCACAACCTCCCCAGGCAATTTATTCCAGTGTTTAACCAGCCTGACAGGTAGAAAGTTTTTCCTTATGTCCAACCTAAACCGCCCTTGCTGCGGTTGAAGCCCATTGCTTCTTGTCCTATCCTCAGAGGTCAAGGAGAACAATTTTTCTTCCTCCTCCTTGTAACACCCTTTTAGATACCTGAAAACTGCTATCATGTCCCCTCTCAGTCTTCCCTTTTCCAAACTAAACAAGCCTAATTCTTTCAATCTTCCCTCGTAGCTTGTATGTTCTAGACCTTTAATCATTTTTCTTGCTCTTCTCCGGACCTTCTCCAATTTCTCCACATCTTTCTTGAAATGCGGTGCCCAGAACTGGACACAATACTCCAGTTGAGGCCTAATCAGCGCAGAGTAGAGTGGAAGAATGATTCTTGTGTCTTGCTCTCAACACTCCTGTTCATGTTTGTTTGTTTTTGTTTTTTTTTGCAAGTGTCACACTTTGACTCATGTTTAACTTGTTGTCCACTATGACCCTTAGATTCCTTTCTGCAGTACTAATCCTTAAACAGTTGCTTCCCATTCTGCATGTATGAAACTGATTGTTCCTTCCTAATGGAGCACTTTGCATTTGTCCTAATTCAACTTCATCCCGTTTTCCTCAGACCATTTCTCTAGTTCGTCCAGATCATTTTCAGTTATGACCCTGTCCTCCAAAGCAGCTGAAACCCCTCCCAGCTTGGTATCATCTGCAAACATAATAAGCGTCCTGGCTATGCCAATATCTAAATCGTTGACGAAGGCATGGAACAGAATCGGTCCCAAAACAGACACCTGCGGAGCCCTGCTTGCGGAACAACCAAACTCTGCCAAACCCCAGGCACCTCTCCAGTTCAATGAGGGAACAAGCTTTGCACTAACACTCTACTGTCCTTAAGCCCCAACACAGGACTGGGCTCTGCTGTCACAGCACTGCAGGCTCGTCGGCCCCTCAGAATAATCCCCGCCCCGCAAGAAACCTCAGAGCCACCCTGACCCCACCACCTGACGCTTTGCACTCACTCTACTGTCCTTAAGCCCCAACACAGGACTGGGCTCTGCTGTCACAGCACTGCAGGCTCGTCGGCCCCTCAGAATAAAACCCGCCCCGCAAGAAACCTC